TTGATCACACACCAATTCTATGGCAATAGTAGGAAGGCAGTCATTCCTACCCTGCTCGTTCTGTACCCTAACTGGCGTGATTTTCCCCTTGGTCCAGTGAAATGCCGAGGCAAAGGAGTCATTCAGGAGTTCAGTTTTCTCCTGAGTGCTGGTAGCCATCTGTCCTGAGTTGTTGAGCAATGGCCCCACACTCCCATTTTATTCCTCCTGTTCCCTGTGTACCTAAACAAGGACTTCTTGTTGTCCTTGATTCACGTTGCTAATTTAAGTTTAGTTGCCACTTTTGCCTTTCTAATCTGTTCACTTCAAGTGCAGGCCAGTTATTCATTAATTGGGATCAGTTTGCTAAGGTTTACATACTTTGCTAAGGCTTATTACCCTTTTTTCCCACCTCTAAAATTCATGGGACCTAGGCTTTACAAGCTTTGAAATGGGCAGCTTTGTTAGTTTCACCAAATATACCATTACATACTGTATCCTTACAGAAAATGGGCCTAGAGTTCCTACATATTTAAGTGGTTCATGTCCACAACCAGTACACAGAGAAGCAGTTCGTTACAATGTAAGTAATGGTTAACACACTGGAAGTGGCTTTGTGTTAAGCAAATTAGGCATTTATCCAATAAGCATGTAAGTGGAGGTCACTATATTTAGAAGTTCCCAACATTCTGGATCCAGTCACTGTCCTATTCCACTTTTCTGTGACTGAAGTGAAAGTTACATTTGGGGTGAATTTCTCCTAATTTCAGCTGAATGACAAGTGCAAAGGTAAAAATACCTGGGAGTATTATATTATAACCATAATTGGGAAAAGAAAAGTAAACAAGATCTGCTTTCAGTGTTCCACAGATCATGAATGTAGGGCCTCTTTCAGAGGAAACTGGTTATGAATTGAAATGCCAACATAAACCTGAAGGACACTTGAGAGAATTCCAGAGATCATAAAGATCAGACTAGTTCAAAATCTGCCTTTGACCTGCTCCAATGACTTCAAGATGTAAAAATTCCTAATTGTAAATGAAAAATAGATGATCATTGAAAATATTGTCTCACTGGGAATACTGAACAAAATGAAGAGTTTTTTCATGGTATCAGTATGGATGACATGGTTCTTGGGGGTAGGAGGGTCGAATTTAAACAGGTATAATGTCGTCATACCTCATGAAATGCCAGTTATGAAGTGAGAAAATAACAGTGAGGAAGAAGGTAAAGGACATGGTGCATGGATAACGTTGAGTAGTGCGAAGAGAACGTTTACAGCAAATAGGCATGAGCATTCATTGGGGGGTGTCTCCACTGGGATAAATACAGCAGTTATTGTAGTATAACATTATTAAAGCACATGATTTGGGGAATGTTTTTCTTGTGCTAAGTGTTCTCTCTCTTCTCCACAAGCTTTATTAGATCCCCTTTGTATGTAAGGAATGGAAGAATACATTTTGACAATAGATTCTTCCATTCCATTTTTTGTGTAATATTTTGAGGCTTGACAACAACAACATCAAATCTTGGCCTCCTAGTGTAAGTTCACACCAGTCTGGCTTTAACAGCCCTCTTACTTCCCTCTGCCACAACTTTGCCGCTGCTATGACACTTGCAGGCCTGCTCCACTGTGGTGCAGCTGATGCCCTGTCTATGCTTATATTTTTCTTATTGACAGTGAGTGTTCTTGCCAAACGCCAGGGACCATAGTCACATCTGTTTGTCTCCCAAGCTTGTCTGAGGCTGCTTGGGAACACTTTTTATCCAGAGGGCAGCTTTAACTAGGCCTAATGCTCTGAAAAGCCTCTATTTGTAAATGCATACAATGAGGCGACAAGTTCCTCTTGTCTTTCCTTAAAAATTATTCCATTTGACACTGCTTGCTCCAGTCCCTGTCACCAGCATATCAAAAGCCAAGTTTTCAGGCAAGGTGGTCTTAACAAGTTTTATTTTTTTCCCCAGCAAAATGCCTAGCTTTCCACACAAGCACTATTTATAAATGATAGCTTGCAGCAAGCTATAGATAAGTAGATAGAAATCAGGCAAATAGCTTTCTTCCTCTTTGTAATTCTTGCATTTATGATTTAATGTTAAGAAACATAATATTGAGTCTAGACAGATTCTTAGGGTCAGAGTACTCCCTACTTCTCAGTGACCATATAATAGGAATTTAGAAATGTATTGTACATGAGCTGTTATTTGTGTTTAGAGCAAAAATGTAGCATCTTTCCTCCACTAAACTGTAGGCTTTAGAATAGAAATAGTTTTGTCCCTTCCTCTTTAAAATGTAATGTTTTGTCTTTTAGTGATTTTAAACTGGCAATAAAATGTTAGTTGTAAATCCTTTTGGAAATAAATGCTGCTTTATAATTATTTTTAAACCCAGATACAATATCTGTTGTTATGAGACTGGATTTCTTAGTTTAATGAACACACCAAGAATTTGGGTTGGCTCTATAGAATTTTCTTCAAAACAACAACAAAGAAGTATCTACTCTCACCTTGGCTAGTGATCATGTTGTAGTGCTTTGCAAAGACAAATGATTCATTTATGCTGAAAGAACAAGGTTGCCTTTCAGACATTCATTGATTTTCAATTAAAAAGTAACTGCTATGTTCTATATGAAGGGTGATGACAATAATACAGTAGTCCTAACTTAGTGTTAGTGGTTGCAGCTCTGTTCTCTGTGTGCCTGAAGGAAAAGTTGGGAGGCCTGATTAATAGAATTTTGCTGATCAGTAATCTCTATCTCAATACAGTGTAACCAATAATCAGTTCTGGGTTGAATTACTCAAACAGTTCTCCTATAATTCAGGTCTGCAGGTTCAATTAGCTGACTTGATTCATTTTTATCATCATCCAATTTGTATTTCTCCCCCTCCATGTTTGCCACCTTCTCTCCTTTTGTATAATTCCAGAAGGAAAAAAAATCCACATATTGCATTCTACTAAGTATGAGACATGTCCAGGAGACGTAATGAAATTTGGATTTGGGGGGAAAGGTGATGTTTATTTCATATTCATAGACAATTCTGTGTAATGAAATAAAACATACTTTGGTGAATTCTGAACATTTTCAGTCTTCCCTGCTGCTGCAGATTTATTTTGAATGAAAAAGGATACATCAGTTTATAAATTAAACCATATATTTTTAAATTTTGATATTTGCTTCCCATTAGTTTGTATTCAAATGTTTAAGAGCACAGAGTGTGATTGGGTTGTACTTTAAACAGAGAGTAAAATAAGTGGCCTATTTAAGTGAACCATTTTTTGACAGTAGTAGTTCTCTCAAGATTCCTAAGTAGCCTGGTTTTCTAACATACAGTGTTCTCAATTTTAGGAACAATTTTAGTTTAAAAAATAAAGCCATATTACTGTGCAATTTAAAAAATAGGTAAGTATTGTGCCCAGAGTTATTTTAAGTAAGTACACACAATTTGTAAGTTAAAACCTGTATACTTAATAAAAACTTTTAAAAAATATTCCCTTTTGAATTTTTGTTGCTCTTATTAGCCTTTTTCCATAATTATAAAATATTGCATTTCTCCTCATTTTCGTATGTGTTATCAATCACAAAAAAGATTTTTAATAAGCTCAGCCTATGAGTGAAAAAATTCCGGTAAATGCAGTTTATGGAAGGCAAGTCAACGTTAAAATAAAAAGTTAAGCTAAAGCAGTGCCAAAGAACTAGCACAGTAAGTTAGAATAAGGTACACATTTGTGCAGTAATTAAATCTCTTGGAGTATTTTCTTTTAAAATCACTTCCTTGTTAATTTAAGAAGTCTTACACTTTTTTTGATTAAAAAAAAAAAAAAAAAAAAGAAAAGATTATTAAATGATTAAACATTAACCACTTTCAGCCAAGCAGTGGGTGTTTACTTTTTTCCAGTGTTATTCAGAAAATCTATATATTTGTTTATAGCACATAATTAATTTGTTATGCATTAAATAATGCTGTAGCAAAAAGAAACCATTTAAGTGCGAGTAAGCAAAATTCATGAAGGCTAAGGCTTTGAGTGGAAACATATTACTTTGCATTGGCACCAACCTATTAAAAATAGTTATCTCCCTTGTAATTTATCAAAATTCACTACATTTTGGCTAAAATTATAGTTACTTAGTTTTTCCATGCATTCTCTAATGTTTGATACATCTCCATAAATACCTTCCCTTTTTCCCCACTTTAGTTCTCGTTCGCAGAAATAACGCAGGCAGTAATTTTCCGACTAAAGGAATAACACGTTACTTACAGGAAAAACCACAACTATTATTCCAGTTTAACAGTGCAAATCATGTTAAATTCCCCAATTCAGGATATCCCTATCGACTTTTTTCTGGGGTAATCTGACAGCCAAGTAGCTAGTTCAGTCCATTAAGAAGAACTGGCTATTTGCCACATACTGTAACTGCTTGATTTCACCAGTCCAAAAATATAAGCTCATAATTGTTTAATGGGCACAGCAACATATCCAACAATACTATGTCATTTTCATGCTCAGCCAGTGATTAAAAAAGGAAATACAAACATGTAGGGCAAGTTTATTTCATGTACATCTTAAAGAGGATCCCTTTCATGTTACCTATTGCATTCTTCATCTTTCTTTAAAATGAATTGATAATACTTTTCCTGTAACAAATGTTGTTCTGGCAGTAAGGCATTAGTAACCAATTGATATCCTACCAATGATATTGTGATCTCTTTTGATAATTAATCTTAGTTATTTTCCAGTCAGAAGCAAGCATGTTTTATGTTGAGGTAGAAAGATTGCCAGTTTTGAAAATTGAAAAGCATTCCTTTTATATTATTCATTCCAGTAACAATTTATGATGCTGTGTTTAGATGCTGAGCGCTTGTCAGCAAACATGATTATGTTTCAATATAAACAAGATTGGTGACTTCACTATGCAGCTCCATCTTCGTTGAGAATGTTTTGATTTAGGTTCAGATTGTATAACCTGTGTATTTATGTCATTTTCCACTCTTTGTTAATAGTTTTCTCTGATAATTACTTGCAGACAAACAAGCTTACACTTAGGATCATTGTGTATGGGAGATGTCAAACGGAGAAGGAAAGCTGCACCCCTGCCAGGACCCACAGGTAATTCATTTTACTGTGAAGTTAAATCTTCAAGGTACATCGGTCAGTAACCCTGCAAAGTGCATGATAAATTCATCAACTCTTCCAATAGCCTCAGGTATGTGCTTTAATATTTAGAAATACCAAGCATTTGAAGGACAGTTGAGTCAGTTGATTCCCTAATCTCTCATACTAAACCTTTTCAAATGCGATACTTCTTTAAAGAAAAGTGATCTCTTTGCCTTTGATAAAAATGTTAGACAACAGAGTTTCCTATTCATGTGCAGTCAAGAATACAAGGTTGGGAAGCTTGTGTCTTTTTTACGATGAAGATTGTATGAAAAATGAAATAAATTTAGAAAGCGACAAAAGTTGGGCAAACAATTGAAAGTTTGGAGTCAAGAATATGACAGATAGCTTCAAAATAAGTGCAGCACATTAAATGGCTAACACCTGCAAGTGCATTTTCTGGAAGGTTTTTTACAGATGCGAGGTCACAACCATAGCATGCATTTTGCTGATGTCACAGCTGGGAAATTACTTTTTCAATACCTAACTGTGATTTATAGGACTCTCCGTTTGTTTATATTAATTATATATGTGTACTCTATTTTATATGTGTATGTGTATCTTTGTGTTTACATCTACAGTTTGTCTTCATGTATTTTTCACAAATATGTATGATATGAATAATGTAACTATTGCTATATTATCATATACTTGTGGTACCTTATACATAGGATTCTAAAATTTAGTTCAATCCTAAATAAATATTTTTAGAGTAACCTAATGTTTGCATTCCAGTTGAATGGCCCCCTATATTTCAATGTTTCAAGTATCAGTGATAGAAACAGACCAAGAACAATCTCAGAAATGCTATAAAAGCACCTTAGTGGCAGCAGTATGGAAAAAGAAAATGCCTGGGTCAGGTCCTAAGACTCTGAACATATGTGAAGTGAGAAGGAAAATACTTAATGGCTGAGGAGAGGATAATATAATTATTTCTACAAGGTGATTTTGACTTAACTTGCAAGTACCACAAAAAGTCATTTTTGTACAGAGTAGGTATAAAGTATCAGGAAATTCATTTTATTATGCATTTTACCTTGGACTTCCAGTGTCCACTGTTTTATTTTTACAAGCTGAATCCCCTTCATTATTTGCAAAGGCAACCTTTTGATAATGAGGTCACTCAATATTTTTTATAAGCATTCATTCTTTTTCTGAATACATGGCTACATCTTCACAATATCCAAGATTTTTTCCCCCCTAAACGCTTTGTCTTATATTTAGAGGAAGAAATACAACATCTTTAAAACACAACAACAGAAGCTTTGTATTTGCTTCTGTTTAGTACTGTAAGTTTATCCCTTTAATTTAAGCAGCACTAGTTCATTTTGTACTGAACAGAAAGGTGGAAAATTTTATGTTGGATTATAATCACATGAAAGGATTTTCTGTATGAATATTTGTGGGTTTTTTAAACAAATATAAACCTTAAAAATATTAAGTCATACCATGTTGGGGATACAGGTATGTTCATGTACAAATATTACAGAAATATATTGTGATAATCTCAATACATTCCATCATTTTTTCTTCCCATGGCTGAATTAATGTTAAAATCCATTATTAAAAACATTTGCTACCACAATTTTAAAGGAAAAAACTTGCATACCAGCAAGAAAGCTAGATTAGAACAAATGACTAATATGCTTATTGGGATTTCTTTTTCCCAAATATATTAAATAGTTAAAACATAGGAACCAAAGGACCGGATTTAAGCCCCCAAAAATTATTTGCAGACTTTTTTCCAATTAAATGCATGTGGACAATAATCACAGTAGTGTTTCTCTGCAAACCAAGAGAAACAGTCTGTCAGTGTTTTCTCTACCTCCTATTTGAACATGGCTGTGAAAGGTAAAGGCTGACTGTAGATCAGTGATCAACTATATAAGCTTTATTTTGAGGTTTGATACACGTGCTACAAATTAGTAAAGCATGACCTTGTGTCAGCCAGGTAGGTGAGGAAAACAGTTCAGTTTCATAACCCCAATCTATGTTTACAGGAGAAAATTGCTTGGGTACATGCATTTCTATAATAATATGCATGGTATGTTGAAAATCTTTTTTTTTTTTAATATTTGAGATAGATGCTACCGGGGAGAATTACTGGTGATACTAATTAGGTATTGAAATATGTTGTGTGTATTTTTATGAATAGGCAGGTTAGCACCTGCTCCAGTACACACTTTCCGATATCTTACAAAGCTGTAGACCACTGTAGCTAGCGGTGTTATTGGTTAAACATTTATTAATTGTGACAAGAACACCCAATTTATTTCAGTACTCTAGCTTATTTACTGCTCTTTCACCTTTGTATTTTGTATTGAAAAAGTAAAATGAATATTGATAGAGTTAGGTATTGATTTCTAAATTTATAGCCTGTTCTCAGCCTTGAGTCAAAGTCACATACCAATAGGTTTGTGTGTATTAGTAACAAAGGATGTAGATTTACTCTTGTAGCTGTGAGAAACTGTTGAAGCAAGAAAGTTTAGCTGCACAGAGCATTTTATAGTTTGAAAAATGTCATCTGTAAAGGTGAAGTAAAGCCACGCTGAAAAGCAGTGAACAAAATAAGAGAAATGCTATTAGATATGGATTGCAGGGGAGACTTACCAGCTGACAGCAGAGGCAATTATGTCCTATTCTTCTGTTTTTACTACAATACTTTTTCTGGGGTTTGTGCATTTAATAAAGCCTCTTTTGACATGTCATCTACTTAAATAATCCATTTACTAAATTAAACAAAGATTCATTGTAAGTATGCATAGCATATTTTTTAAATATGACTTCTGTTTCTTAAGAATCAGAAATGCATGATGTTATACATAGTAGTCGACTAGACGTTTTCCAGCCTAACTTCCTCTAAAGAAATTGATACCTGATACTTAAGCAACACTGCGTTCAGACGTGGGACAATGTTGCTCTGAATTACTTCACGTCTTCTAACCACCTGAATAGCAGTGCTAATCAGTATGACACTCTGACATCTTTCATTGCAGTTACACAATGCACTCAACCTTTTTTTTTAACTTTTCCCTGTATTTTTAATTATTTTGATTTGTCTAACAGAAGACATAACCAGACCAAAACCAAATTCAGTATTTTTTTTTAAAGTAATTGGTAGCCATCAAAAGATATCTATACATAACATGTAGAAGGGAATCAGCAGAGCATTATATCCCTAAAATGTATGCATTTGAAATGTTCATAACAACTTCAGTGAACATTTGGGGTTTGTCCATTTTAAGTCTCTAATTAGTTTTGTCAACCTAATGTAAACTGAATAGGAGTTTCATTCAGTTCTGTTCCTTAAATTCTAATCTTTACTTCCCTACAGCTTACCTTCTCTCAGCTCCCCAAGTTATCCTCTGATCCCCATCCCATTTACCATAACCTTTAGATTCTCATTTTTTTTTATATTCCTTTAAATCCTCTAAATGTTATTAGGGAAATGCACGCTATGCTTACCGTACACATTCTGTTTGATATTGGTAGGTTTCTATTAACTTAAGTTACAATTTACAGACTAGAAATTTCATGCAAATTAAAAAGAAAAGATGAAGACAAATGACTAACTCTACAAACTTTCATCTTAGAAAGATGAAACAGCTTTATTAAGTGTAAAATGTATATACATATAGAGCACACCTATATAAAGCATCAAACAAAATGCATCTAAAACCATGTCGATTATTTTCCATAAAAGCAAATTTCAAATTTTACTGGACTTAGCATTTGCCATAGTTCAGACCAATACAATCTGAAAGTACTAAGATATGTCTCATATTAAAAATGTGCTTTAATGAAAAATTTGACAGATTCTTAATTATAGCAGAAGCTCTGAGCGCTGCTATAATGCTGTCATGACTCACTTTAACAAGGTAATCAAAAGGCCAAATGTTTTCATTCCTTTTTTAAAATTGCCAATGGAGCAGCTAAGCAAACTATTTTGCTGATGCTTAATGTGTCAGTGATTAAAAATAAGACCTGAATATCTGCAGTGCCTAAATGATTATTTGGAAAAGATTGTGATTATACTGTCATAACAGAGGTTGTCCAGGCTAAGCTTGTGATGAAGGTCAACTTTCTTAGGCATTTATAGATAAAAAGCAGACTTGCCTTACCTGGGTAAACTAGAGGTAAATTTCCCAAACACTTGGACATGACTTGTTGTTCAAACTCCACATAATTCCCTGTGTAGAAAATTTATAATTTATGCCCTCCATCTTGGATCTGACATCTAAGTGATATTGCTTGTCAGTATGGGCAAAGGTTTGATTAATTTTTGTTTGACCCAGGCTGCTTAAGTTTCTTGTATTCACAGCTCTGGAGACTGAAGTTCTTTGTCCGTACACAGAACAAGTACAACACTTTCACCAACAGTGGAAGGTTCTCCATGGTGTTTTGCATTATGCTTTATCTATGACTTAGGGGTCAGCCACTTGTAGTGGTAATAGAGCAGCCCTTGTCTCACTGATGAGAAATCAAGCAATAAAAATTGACTTTTGTGGGGACTACATTAACATTTTTTGGTGTATTCCCTTTTCTCTGTCTCTGCTTACTACCATATTTATACATTCCACACTACCTCAGAGTGAAGCCTGTGGCAGATGGCAGTGACATTACAGATGGTAAAAAAACTCAAAAGACTTTTAGCACCAGATGTAACTATCCTGAATGGTGGGCAGAAATTATCTATTCTGAGCCTAAGCCCCTACTTTAAGGCTCTCTCACATTAAGACACAAAATCTACTACCACACTTGTAAAACAAACTGTAAAGAAGAGGAAAGAAGAGATAATTACCAACAGCCATGAGGAGCTGGCAAAGGAGAGACGAGTGCCCTGGGAGCCATGGTTCTGGAGCAGCTACTCCGTGAGGCTAGAGCAGCTGCAGGAGGATGGAAAAGGAGCATGAAAGGCGCGCGGTGAGCCAAGGAGTGGGGATCAGTGTTCC